CCCTCGGGCCTACTCCAGCAACTCTTCCAAGAGTGCTTTTTGTTGCATCCTGGCACAAGGCATTTGTCCAACTCTTTCTTCTCCCCCCCGCCTCCTTGCTGTTGATAGCCTTTCCTAAAGGAAGCCTTATCTGCTGCACACATGCCTCCTTCTAGGCCTCTTCCAGCATCAACCTTGCGAGCCTCATCAGAAATTAGAACCTCCCAAATCCACACCTTGGTCCATTTCTGCTGCTCGAGGTGAAGGTACTCTAGTAATGCCTCATTGGCTGCTTGATCCAACCCTTGGAGCGCAGTATAGATGATCTCCTTCTCATCTACCGTGTAATCCAGCTCCTCCAAAGCCCTCACATTCTCATCCAACCTCTGGAGATATTGAACCATGGTCTCCCCCTCCCCATAGTTCCGCTCCATCGTGTAAAACCGCTTCCGCCAAGTAAGCACGCTTAGAAGCCCTTTCTGCAAGTGCCTATCTTGTACTCTTTTCCAAGCCACAGCCGCTGCACCTTCCTTCCCCTTCAGGTCAATCAGCATCTTAAGAAGCTCAAGCTGCCCCTCCAAAGCCCAACATAGGTACTGAAATGCCTGGCAATCCTTCCGATCCCATGCTTCTTGAGCTTTGAGCAACTCCTCGCTACTTGGTTGCGACCTTCCGGTTCGAGTCGCAGCAGTTCCTCCTTCATTCCCCCCACTCAACGACGCTCCCCCAGCCCCAGATCCTACTTGGCTGGTTGCTCCAGTAGACGCCTCCCCAGAGTCAGCTCGTGGTCGCTTCTCAGATCCATCCAACACACTTTCTAGGCCCTTAATACCTAGCCATAGTGTAAACTGGAACCTCCATAGAGGAAAGTCCGAGCCGCTAAACCTAGGAGGGCCATCCAACTTTTGGGCCATGTCAAACCCTAGATTTGGAGCACTTCAAACCTCTCTATATCTCTTCCAATGGAGGAAACAACGTCCTCTAACCGTGGCTCTGATACCACTGATGGAAATCGTGCAAATGTGGAGAGAATTAATAAGAGATTAAGTCTGACGACCTCAACGGAACATTGCGTGCAGCTCAAGTAACTTCTACAAATGAGCTTATTCTCGTTGGAAAGGTCTTAATCTCTACTTTCCAAAATGGTAAAGCACGTTCATAACCAAGATCTGGAAAAGTTCGAGTATGTGATTGTCAAACACCACCAACCCTCTCCCTGGACCAAACCCTAAGACTCCCAAGTGCCACAGCTGCAACATCAAAGATGTTCTAGTGGGTTTGGGGTGGTATGGGTTGGAAAGGTAACGAGATCAAACCTAGTCAACCAACCAAAGTTCTTTTGCCCAAATCCCAATAGCCCACAACCAGCTACAGCAAACTACACCACAGCACACTACACATTTATCATGTCTGCCTCTGTGCACCTGGCCGGGAGGTCCTTTTCCTCCCTGGCGAGGGGCATTATCCTTGCAATCCCACCCTTTAGGCACAGTACGTATGCCGCTGCTGCATAAGAATAAGCCGCATCATCCTCGACCTTGTAGTTCCCTAGGTGGCACTGGTTCTGACCCTTCTCCCCAAACACGATCTTCACAACATACCGGTCCTTGTTTGGCTGATACAACACGCCCGTCCAGCTGGCTTCAGGCTTACGGCTGGCATGTGCCATATCTATGCCGATCGTGATGGGCGCCGCTGGTGGCACAGTAGCGGCGCCGGGGGCGTGTGTGGGCGTCTGTGCCGGAGCAGGTGGTGGGGAAGGCACCGTGGTGGCGTGGCTGGATGGCACTGTTGGCAGCAACTGGGGATGGATGGCTGGCGCAAACGGCACCATGTACCACCCCCCTAGTGGCGCCCTAGGCCGCGGAGCAATTTGTTCGCCAACAGCCATGCCATAGTGCGGAGGAAGCACTGCGTGTGGATGCTGGAATGGCGGAGCACCAAAGGTACTGGAGGGTGGTCAGAATGGAGGATCTGCAAGGATGTGATGGTCAACCCATCCACGTGTGTGTGGTGGATGCACGCCCAGGTCCACCACTTCGTGCACTGCGCCGCAGTTTCTGCTGCTCGGGGTCACACTGGCATTGAGCAGCTGGGCGGAGGCTCGTGTCCCAACGTCAGGGGAGTGTCGTGGGTTGGGGGTGGCCGGCATGCTTTGCCCCTGCTCGATTTGCCCATATCTCGGAGTGGGCAGCGAAGCTGGCGCCAGCTTTTGTCCAGGCGTCTTGGTGTAGGCTATGCAAGCGAATGCGCCTTCCAGGCCCGACTGCGACAAATGCGCGCCGTTATGGCTGGTTGAGGCGGAGATGGCGGACGGGCTGTGTGCCGCAATGCGGGGCTGTGCGCTTGCGTCACCCCCGGCCTCGAGCGCCCTCGGCCCACGGCGTGATGCAGCTGCCCCACCGCACAACTCTGCCGGCAAAGGGGAGTACGCTTGGCCGCCCAGAGCTCAGCTCGTTGCAATGACGACGGCGTTCTTGTCCACCCCCAACATCCTAGCCAGCGCCGCAACACTTGCTGCGGCAGGGGCTTGTTCTGGGAAAACAATGCCAAGCTGCTTCAGCTCCTGGTGAATACCCTTAATCTCCGCCACATAGTCTGCCATGCCAGGGCATTCCTCCAAGCGCACTTGAAACATGCGAGGAATGAGGATTGCCACCCCCACAGCAGTTTTGTTGAGGAAGCGGTCGTTGAGGTACTCCCGGATGGCATGGGCGGACGGGTAGTTATGATATGTTTTAACTAGCTCGGAAGGAGTGGTGCTGACGAACATGCCAATGGTAGCAGCGTCGGCCTGCTCCCACACACTGTAAGTTTCCTCGTACTTGGTTGTCAGATCTTTGTGCGCCTTGGATTCTTCTTCAGTGGCATTCGCCTGGAGTTCCTTGGGTGGGGTAGGCATCTTTCCTTTGCCGCGGTTGAGCAAGACATTCTTAAGACAAATGCCTTCGACCTTGCGGTTCATAAGGTGCTTGTCGATGCCGTAGCTCCATTCCTTGAAATTGGGGCTTGTGCCGTTGGGGTCAAGGCGCAACGGAGTGATTGGGGTACCAAGGGATGCGGAGGGGAAGGCCATGGTGTAAAGGGCCCCTTTCTTCTGCGCGGAGCGCAACTCTTAAGTCGCCGATAGGAACTTCGGGCTCCACAAAAATGACGCTTTTCCGAAGCGGATTTTTAATGCTCGGAGTGTCGATTTGTCGTATCTCAATAGGAAATGAGCCGTCCGGAAAGTCACAAAATAGTGATCAAAACTGCTGCTTCTGTACTGTTACGCCGCTGCACCCGCTGCTGCACCCGCTGCTGCTCCCATTCAGCTACGCCGCTGACACCCCCTGCCATTGCATGGGCAACGGGCGGCAGCCCGTTCAGCTTTGACGCGCAGATGCAGGGCGACGGGCGACGGCCCGAGACAGATGCGATGAATAGATGCGGGGCGACGGGCGGCAGCCCGACGTAAGGTGCTGTGCAGATGCGGGGCGACGGGCGGCGGCCCGAGGAGACGAGCCGCGCGGACGCGGGGCGACGGGCGGCGGCCCGAGGAGACGCGCCGCGCAGACGCGGGGCGACGGGCGTCCGCCCGAGGAGACGCGCCGCGCGGACGCGAGGCGACGGGCGTCCGCCCGAGGAGACGCGCCGCGCGGACGCCGGGCGACGGGCGTCCGCCCGAGGAGACGCGCCGCGCGGACGCGGGGCGACGGGCGTCCGCCCGAGGAGAAGCGCCGCGCGGACGCGGGGTGACGGGCGTCCGCCCGAGGAGAAGCGCCGCGCGGACGCGGGGTGACGGGCGTCCGCCCGAGGAGACGCGCCGCGCGGACGCGGGGCGACGGGCGTCAGCCCGAGGAGAAGCGCCGCGCGGACGCGGGGCGACGGGCGTCCGCCCGAGGAGAAGCGCCGCGCAGAGTTGAGGCGGATAGAAAAGCTTTACGTTGTAAGACGCAAATGCTAAGCTCCAACGGAGCGAGAGGATCAAGAGCCGCTTAGGCGGAAACGAGCTCTGGTACCATGTTAGAAAACGGAACTTTGATTGATTAAAATGAGAGAGGGCATACAAGCTTAAGTACTAACCATAGGAGAGGGTTGGAAGGGATAAGGGGAATCAGAGGGAATCCCAAGGGAATCCTCCCAAATTGTGGGGATTTGGGATGGATTGGGTTGGGATAGGTTGGAGATAAAACAAAGCTACACCCAACCTAACAAACATTCCTAACCCTAAACAAACAAATGCCTAACAAACAAATGTGCAACATTACAGCCTATCTCCAACAGGTACAACTCCCCTCCTTGTATGCCTCTCTTTTCTGTTCTCACCCCTCTTTTCTCTCGTCAACTTTCCTCTCCTAGTTCCTAGCTAAACCCTTTTCCCATTTCCATGGCTTCCTACCGTTCCTAGCTACCTTGCTCTCGTGACACCTATATCCGGGTGATTGCGATACAAAACCATTTTGTATGTTTATAACAAACAAACATACGAAACGAGAGTTAAAAACCAGGGCTGATAATTGAAAATTCGATCAAAAGCCCCACCCATTGAAAAAATTGCTTTTCTCCCTACATTCCCCTAGGGGGCAACTACCTGGGTAAATGTGGCAACGGAATTAGGCATTCGACATGCATAGTTTCTGTTTCTGAGCTTTGCTCGCATGAATACGCTCTTACACAAACTCACAACCAAACAATTTCTACTCACAGAATAAGGCAAAAACGACCAGTACCATAAGATGACAAGATGCCAACGTCAAACACAACCATTATAGAACAAGAAGGCAGCCTATATCTACAGAGAAATCTGAAGCCTGCTTCCATGTAAAATGTACCAAACTAGTATATGTATGCAAAACATGCTCCGCAACCCTAAGACGATTTCGTCGACCCTTGTTTTTTCTTCCCATAGAATCCTTATTATATGATAATGGGCTTTCGTTTTTTATTCAATTACAAGTGCATGCGAATTTTTAACAGTATCACCTACAACCGCATACGCGCCTCTATTCGAGTGATTACAGCAGCGACTGGAACTTGCTTTCTTTACGGTACATTTATAAAGCGCATGGGCTTACACATTAAATTCGATTATAAACGCAGGTGATTTTGCAAGGGGTTCCATAACAAGCACATATGCGCTTATATCCGGGTGTATATGGTATCACACCCTTAACAGATTTAGACATGGTTTTCGTTGGAGAATCTCTCCCCAATCATCTTGAGTGACTCCTCAAACGCATCGACATCTCCAAATGTGTCCTTCATCTCCTGCACCTGCGCATCCACCTTAACCGCAGCACTCAGCTCATCCTTCCCCGCCACCTCCTCCCGGATGGCCTTCAGCTGGTTGGCAATGTGAGCCATGCTTGGGCGGCTTGCAGTGCGCTCCACGGTGCAGCTGATTGCCAGCTGAGTCAAGCGCAACACAGCATCCCCAGGGGCCTCAACATTGGAGTCAGTGAGGCTCCCCAAGTCACCCAAGGTCATGCACTCGGATGCCTGAGAGAAACGCACAAGAGGGGTGATGAGTCAAAGGCAACTGATGACATGAATACCTGATTCATTGGCTTCACTTGCAAACGTGCAACAAGGTGGTTGGCACTCACCCACGAAGTGATCTGCCTGGTTTCTCCAGCCGACTCAATAATTGGAGCCTCCCCCGTGAGGACCACAAGCATGAGCACACCGAAGCTGTAAAGCAAGGTGAATGGTGAGAGCATCAAGAAGGTGATGTTAAGAAGAACGTAGGAATCTAGATGGTTCCATGCTCATGCGCTGCTTGTGCGTTGCCAGAGATGAGTAGAGCCGGTTCCAGGTTAATCCTAGACTATCGCACGTCCAAGGGTCATCTAAATCACATGCCATGATCGTACGGGATTCTAAATTCACCTGTAGACATCGCTGGCAGAAGTTGCCAGCGATGTCCTGGAGTAAACGGGATCCAGATAGCCCGGTGTTCCCATGATCCGAGTAGAGCCCACTGTGGTGCCCTCTCCCGCCCTCACAAGCCCAAAGTCTGCAATCTTGGCCTGGTGGTGAGTGGTAGGGTGATAGCATCACTGAGCGAAGAGCAAAGGAAACAGTGACCGAGAAGAGAAACTTCCGACGAGTCGGGGAGAGAGAGACTAGAGTGCAAGTGTGGGGAGAGAGAGACTAGAGTGCAAGAGGAAAAAGCAAAAACAACTCAGGAAGAAGTCACACTGTTACCCGTGTGAGCTTTGTCCGAACGCACCCTTGATTCGTGCATGTCCCTCGTGTTTCCATGCAGCTCTACGCTCTAGTTCTAACCTTGTTTTGAGACCATGATACGTGCTAAGGTGGAACCAAGCTTGCCTGCATGTCAGCAGTGATGAGGATGTTTGCCGGCTTGATGTCCCGATGCACAATGTCGAAGCTGTGGAGGTACTCAAAGCCACGTGCGATTCCAATGAGAATGTCCAGCCGCTGCTTGAAGCTTAGAGGGTTGGATGCATCTGCAAAAAAAAAATAATGAAAAGGTAAAATTGACAACAGTGAACACATCAACTTAGAGACGACCACGTAACTCCACCCATATCATAACTGATCTGACAAAAAAGAACTGAATCTATGGAATTACCTAGTAGTGACAGAATCAACTGCACACTACGTGCGCATAGGCCTAACCTTCCATGCTGTCAGCAGATGGCATAGAGGCCAAAGAAATTGTGCATTTGCACCGATTTTACACCACAAGATAGGATAGCCATACAGAAAATTCGACCCATTTTTCCCTAGAACTTGTCTGCTTGAAACAGATGGATTTGTGGAGAATGCTGTCTGTGTCAGTTTTCACACCAAACAGCACATAATGTGTCCGGGTTAACACCCCACCCTCATTGGCACGTCCAGCCCGCTCCATAATATATCCCCAAGTCAGCCAGTCGAGATACTGACAGATATGATTGGTTCCAGACTGACAAGCATTTCTGAATCCTGATGAGGAGTCTGATTGCTCCTTTTCACACACTCTTGCCTTGAACTTGCACGGGACTGGACGCCAACACACATCCATCGCACCGTCAGAACTCAGCCCAGCCTCGTGGAGTAGTGTCAAAAAGGTTCACATTTTGGCACTTTGAGCGCATGAGGGGTCAAGTCGTAAAGACCGAAACTCCCCCACAGAACCGCCTCCTCCCTTGCACTCCTGGTTTCCGGTACCTGAGTGATGTGGTACAGTGACTTGCACACTCACCGCGATCAATCCACTTGTGGAGATCACCGTTGGACACAAACTCGTAGATCAAGATCTGCTCGATTTTCGACCTCACGTCCCCTCCAACTGCAAACCCGAGCAGCCGCACAATGTTGGGATGGTTCTTGTCGGCCATTTGGAGGATCTGGAAGGGAAAGAGAGCACAGAGGAGTAGAGAAAGAAGTGGAGGAAGAGGAACAAAGGGACCCGAGAGAATGAAGAACGGGATAAGAAGCAAAGAACAAGGACCAACCAAAATATAAGAACGGAGAGGGAAGTCCCCACAAGCTTGAATTGTCGGATACACTTAACACAGGAAAGCCTTGAAAACATTTCCGTTCACTTTTCTTATTTCTTCCTGCTTCACTAATTTCCTGCAGTCCAGCCACTCCCGAGTTGCAGCTTACTGACCTCCCTCTGGAAGTCCACGTCGATCAGCTTGGCTCGCTTCACAGCCCACACTGTGGTGCCATCGCGAGGAGACACGCCCTTGTAGACATCACCAAAGGCACCCGAGCCAAGCTGGTTGTCCTCCGACCAGTTGTTGGTGGCCTTGAGGACCTCAGCCAGAGAGAATTCCGTGCAGTGTGCAGCAGCCAGGCTGGTACCTAGGGCTGCTTGCGGGGCGAGGGATAAAGAAAGGCACATGCAGAGAAAAGCTTGCCCCCTGCCTGCTGTTATGCTGACATGAACTGCATAGAACAAAAATATAGTGTCCAAAATAAGAGCATTAACTCTTTGCAATTCTCTTCTTTTCTCCTTTGTCCTTACCCTTTCTCTTCAGCTGCATCGTGTGCCTGAAGCAGAGCAGTACGGCAATGAGAAGCAGGAGAACTACCCCAGCCGCAACAGCAACACCGATAATGACTCCCGTTGATACACCTCTGCCTCCAGAGCTGCTACTGGTGGTGCTGCTGTTTGTGGATGAATCTATAGGAGCATAGAGCAATGCAATGGGGATTATGATAAGTTCATTCCCATCACAAGTTTGACGATGGTGCAGCTGAGCAGAGTGTCAAACCAGAGATGAAGAGCACAACTTATTGCAGTCTGACGAGCCGTCAAACTTGCACAGGGGAGGATCACGTGGGTGGTGCACCAATTGTAATGGCACGACACGAGAAGAATGACTGGTCTTAATGCTGCAGATCCGTGGTTGAAAAAAACTGGTGCCATGTTGTAGTGCACTCTGTTGGTTGTCTAAAGCCAGAGGAGCCACAGCTTGTGGCATGCCTTATGTCATGCCTTGCCGAGGGAAGATTTTTCACCAACACTGTTCTGCTCTCGTGCAAGCAGGCTTTTTCCGCATACCTGGTGCTGGTTTGCCACAAGTGCTGCAGAAGGAAGGGCACGTCCGACAGAAGGCTGTCTTAGGCGACTGTGTTGAGCCACAGGCGATGTAGTCCGGTGGGCACGTGAGGTTTGTGCCGCTGATGTTGCTGCAGGAGAAATGAGAGACATGAAGGTGGAATACATAGGCACGGCCAGGTAGGTCATTGCATTCCTTTAATCTCTGCTACTTTGTACAGCATTTACTTCTATCATTGATTTGTAACATCCCAACATGTTAGAGTTTCTTATAAATAATTGATGTCACTTTGTAGGTCATTTACTGTTCTCATTGATATGTAAAAATATTGGACATCTCATTGACTCTTTGCTCCTACCCATAGCCATACCTACCATCTTCAACATCTCCCAGCACACTTTGCCACAAAGATTTGGTCAGTTTGAAGAGCCTCAGATGCTGTTTCCGATTTGTAGCAAACATGCTCTGCACCCACCATGCATAGCTCCATGCCATGGGCGGTGCGGACCATGTGGTGGATGGCTAGTGCTTCACGTACAGTGAATCGAGGGAACTGAAACTCCCAAGAAACGTTGGCAACGTTCCGTTGAGGCTCGTGTCATTGATTCCCCTGCAGCCAAAAGGATTTTGTAGATAGGTGTATGGGGCCGTGAGACTGTTGTCCACCTAACAGGCATGCTTCGCTAGTAGGGAAACAATTAAAATGCTGATTGCTTGAAGGAATGCAAGAGCTAAAAAAGCATGACACATCACCATGACGTAGAGCCTGTTACTTTCATACAAGGAGGTAAGCTGAGACATGACCTCAAGAGAGTTTGGAAGGATCCCGCTCAGCGAATTGTTGTCGAGCCATCTGGAATGCAATCGCGGCACATGGATGCATTGTCCTTGCGTGCTGTTGCCGTCTTGTACACTCACCACATGGCAAGGCATCTTTAGATAGTTCAAGCTGAATATCAGCACCTCTCAAAAACCTACAGCAACGGCGCAGCCCGTAGTGCCCACTGGCAGAGACCGGGCCGACACGGCTGGCAACCCCCTGCTACTACAGCTCCAACGCTGACAGTGGAACCAGGGCCCCGGCCCCACTCTCCAACGCCCGAAGCACAGTCGCACAAGCGGCCAAGATCACCGGGCTCTGGTTTGCCACCAGCGCCCTGTTCACGGTATGGGGAGCAGAGTCCAGCTCCCCCGCCTCTGCTCCTGGCGGCAACCCATATGCCAGCCGCCAGAGGAGCAGCGACACAGCCTCCCCCGCGCGTCGCTGCTGGCGGCGGGACATGGCAGGCCGCCACGACCGACCAGCCTCCGGCTTCCGCAGAAGTGCGGGCAATCCAACATCTCTGCCACCGCGCTGATACACGCGACGACGCCCGCCATCGCCTCGGCCGTCGAGAACGACGACGGGGGGGCAGGAGGGGGAGGCGGAGGATGACGCGAGGCGGCACCGCCTTGCGACACGGACGAGGACGACGGATGGCTCCGTGCGGCCCACGGACCGGACCCCCGGGGGCGCCCTGGAGGGGGTGGAGACGGAGCCCTTTGTCTTTCGGGCGGTGAGGGCAATGGTGACGCTTCCCAGAAGCCCGACGGACCGCCCTCACGAAGACGCTTGGCGGGATGCTGCGTCCCCGGGGAGGAGGCAGTGGCAGTGCCCTGACCCCCAGTGCCGCCACATCCGCCAGCGGCTGGTGGTGCCACTGGCGACTGATGAGGAAGCGGAGGAGGCGGAGCGGGAGCCGCCATGGGGGCAGCCACGGGAGCACAAGGGGGAGGAGGTGGCGGGGGAGGCGGCAGAGGAGAGGCGAGCTCGACAGTGGACGGAGGCGGAGGGGGAGGGAGCGGCAACGGACAAGGAGGAGGCGCGGAAGGCGCGGGAGGGACTGCGGCCGGAGGCGGCGGAGGAGGAGGGGGGGGAGGAGGAGAGAGACGCATGGGCGATCCTCCGAACGGAGCGAGAGGGGGGGAGTGGGGATGAACGGGAACAGGCGGGACAAGAAACGGACCCCCACCTGCACCGGGCGGATGATGCTGCAGTTGCTGAAGCGCACGCGTCAGCCCAGCTACCCGCGGCCCTTGGGCACGAAGCTGCAGCCGCAGCAACACTGTCGACGACAGCGCGCAAGAGACACCGGAAGGCGAGCCAACCGGCGATGGAGATGCCGCCGCCCCCTCTCGCAGGGGGCGGCGCGACGGGGACAGCAGCTGCCCCTATGTCCTCCGACTTCGAAAGGATGACCCCGAACGCAGCGGCCCGGCAGGACTACACCGCCACGGAGGCACGGACGGGACGCGGACGCGGCAGCGGGCGGAAACAAGGGGGACGGCAGCGCGGCGGGAAGGCAACGGAGGAGGCCAGACCTTCCGTCACACGGCAGAGCGGCTGCAGCGCGAGGCGAACAAATTCGCCGCGACGGCCGGCCGAGCAGCGGAAACTGTAACAGAAGCGAGCGAAGCCAGCGGCGCAGAGGAAAGCACCGAACCCGCAACAGGCGGGGATGACACGGAGGCGAACCACGAGCTAAGGGACGCCAACGAAGGCGCAGACACAACGGCTAGAGCAGCGAGAGGGGAAGCAGGCTGGACCAGGGAGGAAGAGGGAGTTGCAGCAGACAGTGACTATCGAAACGAAAACGACCCCAATCATACCTCCCCCAACGGGGATAACTTTGGATGGCGCCTCGGACGACGAGGATTGGGAACAATCCCCTGCCCGAGGCGCGAATGTGGCAGCACATTCGGAACGGCGAACCGCCCCCTCCAACACCCGCCGCGGCGCGGGGGGTTCCCGCCGGTCAATGCCAGCACTTCAGGTGCTGTCACCACTGACCCTCGCCAAGCGCGAGGACTTGTTCGCGAAAATTGCAAACTGGGACATCGCCAAGCTATGCGACCCTCGCCTATCCACCCTGCCCCTCGCCTACCTCGAGAGGTCCTCGCCGCCTTTGCATCCTGCTTGCTGACACCCCTGATGCACCTTGAGTGAACCCCAGAGTCGCCAAGCGACAACACAGAAACCCGACTAAGATTCCGTGTTACATCGCCTAAAGAAATTCGCACAAGGCGAATGGGAGCTGCTGTACAACAAAGCTGTAACATCTGCTGCGCTATCCCAAGCAGCAAGACACCCCAACAACACAGCGGGGCACCTCGCGCAAGGAGAAACACTGTTTAAGCGGGGGAACTTGCGAAAAGCGCTGCAAGCCCTCGAGTCCAGCCCAGTCTGCGAGGCCACAGCTGACAAACTTAGCGCCCTCCGAGCGTTACACCCGCTGGCAGAACACGCCCTACCTGGGTGGACCCATCCCAGGGAACAAACTACCATAGCCGCCAACCCAGCCGCTAGCGCCGCCGCCGCCACAGCAGCAAGCGACGCAGCGGAGCAGCCGCTCAGCATGACTGCCGCAGGCTTCAAGGCGCTGCTACGGAAATGCCCGAACGGAGTGGGCGCGGGGCTCACAGGCATGTGCTTCGAGCACATCTGTGAGTCCGCGGCGACTAACGCGGACGTGCTGGCACACCTCACGGGGTTAGTCAACTGCGCGCTGGCCGGACGAGGCCCTCCTGAAGCAACGGCCCTCATCACAACCTCTCGCCTGCTGGCCTTCACTAAGCCAGGGGGGCGGGTGAGGCCCATAGCCGTCGGGGAATGCCTCTGGCGCCTCATCGACAAGGCGCGGCTCACGCTCACCCCAGACGCCGCGCAGCAGCACCTTAGCCCCCTGCAGTTAGGAGTGGCGATCAAAGGAGGGGGTGAGGCAGTGATACACACCTCCAGGACTCGCCTGCAGCACCACCCCGACCACCTCGAGGTAGACATGGCGAATGAGATCAATTCTGTTGAACGCATCACGTTTTTCAAGGCTGTCCAGGACAGCGCACTCAAGGGACTCCTCCCCTTCGTGCGCCTCTTGTATGGCCAGCCATCGCAGCTCCTGCTAGACCCCGCCTACGGGGTACCCCACATCAGCAGCGAACGCGAGGTCCGACAAGGCGATCCCCTGGGCCCGCTCCTCTTCGCGCTGGCCATCCAGCCGGCGCTGCGGCGGACTTTGGAGAGCCACCCAGGCGTCCTCACACTAGCTAGCGCGGACGATGTGACCTTCATCGGTCCGCCGGCCGCCTGCGCCTCGACCTTCTACTGCTTCATAGGCCTCATCGCAGCTCAAGACCTCCAGTGCAACCCCTTCAAGTGCGGGGCCTGGTCAGCAGCTGCAGTAGACCCAGAGGAGCTACCAGAGGGTGTGCCCTTCCACACTGAAGCCATCCGCATCCTGGGTAGCCCCATTGGGACGACGGAAGGATGCCAAGCACACCTCCGAGCCAACCTGGGAAAGCTGCGGCTGTGCTGCCCATGGAGCAGCAGCTCCACCCGCAGAACGCCATGCTGCTACTACAGCAGTGCGTCGCCCGGCGCGCGTCCTACCTCCTCCGGACAACCCCCCCCCAGGACTCCTCCCCCGGCCGGAGTGGATGGCGTGGGGGAAACAGCTACTGCCTGCAGCAGCCCCCGGCAGAGGAGGACATCGACCTCCTATGGCAGCAGGCGATGCTGCCCGTGACCATAGGAGGTTTTGCGTACCTCGCCTCCACAGCCCTGGCGGGCGACCTCCTCCGCACCCTCGACCCACCCCCTCTTTCCCCCCTCGACAGCACTCTCGACTTCCTCTCCCCCCCTTACACCGCCGCCATACCCCTCCACCGCCTCCTCGCCTGCCTGGAAGCAGACCTACCAGCTCCCGCACGGGAGATCCTCCACCAGCCCAAGGACGAACCAGAGGCCAAACTGCAGCACGCTCTGGCCCTGGAAGTCCACGGGGAAAGGCACGCTCGGCTGGTGGCAACCACACGTGCCATGGCCCTCAACCCCTGCCTTGGTCACACACAACGACTGCTGTCGCTGTGCGGACCAGGGGCTGGGGACTGGCTCCTGGCCATCCCCTTCGGGCCGGACCTCACCATGAGCAAGGGCCAATACGCGACAGCCCTTGCCTTTCGGATGGGGCCTCCAGCAGTCCATCCCCGCAGCCTGCAACTGCAAAGAGAAGAAAAAACTGGAAGACAGAAGACTGCCAAACCACCTGCTACGGTGCTCCCTGGGCGGGGCACCCAAGCGCATGCATGACGCGCTGGCCAACCTAGGCGCCCGCCTAGGCAGGGAGGCATGCTTCATAGTCAAGAAAGACTCGTCACTATACCTCCCCGAAACAGCCGAACACCACGCCGACATCACCCTCCAAGACCCGGACTCAGGCGCGGTATGGGTCTGTGATGTGACAGTGACTGACCCCATCTCCTCACACAATCGGCAAGGAAAGGGACGGGCTGTGCGGCGGAGGAGGCACAGGCGATGAAACGCGACCTGCATGACGAAAGACCCACCTTCGTGACGGTCCTCGGCGTGGCAAGCGAGACCTACGGCTGCTGTAGCAACGACACTATGGAGCTCCTGCACTTGCTGGCGGTGGTATCCGCCCGCCACAACCACAACGCGGACGAAAAGTCAGCGGTGGCTAAGGGGCTGGCACACGCCCATCTTTGTGCTCATTAATTAGTTCTTTCTTGAGTTGCTTCACTGCCTTGGAAGCGAGAGCGAGAGCAAGAGAGAGAGAGAGCCATGGTATATAAGGCTCCCTCTCCCATCTTTGTGCTCATTAATTAGTTCTTTCTTGAGTTGCTTCACTGCCTTGGAAGCGAGAGCGAGAGCAAGAGAGAGAGAGAGCCATGGTATATAAGGCTCCCTCTCCCATCTTTGTGCTCATTAATTAGTTCTTTCTTGAGTTGCTTCACTGCCTTGGAAGCGAGAGCGAGAGCAAGAGAGAGAGAGAGAGCCATGGTATATAAGGCTCCCTC